CTGGGGATTCAAACCCGCCACCTTAGGTTTATGTGGCTGGCGCCTTAGCCGGTTGAGCTATAGGCGCCGAGCCCACATCCTCTATTCTTATCTTAAACTAGAGAAAGAAAGAAAGAAAGTCTGGGAAAGTGAGATACCTATCTTAAGACTAGCCTAAAGAAAGAAAGTCCTGGAAAGTGAGATAACCATCTTAAGACTAGCCTCTCTAAAGACCTAAAACAACTATACATTATCTGACTTCTTTTGTTAAAGTTAAAGGTCAGGATAAACAGGGGAGTAAAATTTTTTTCTTCCATGTACTTAATTAAATTTCCGAGAAACAGGCTCCATGACTGTTTTCTCATGGTTTGGAGGCCCTGCTGTTACGACAGAGTGTTCTTTTACTCACATCATTACTAAGAAGTTTTTCTTTTCACTCACACCAACCTTTGAGTCATGTCCCCTGCACAGATAGGCCATTTAAACCCTTATCTGGCAGGCTGACTTGACTGCACAGTCGGGGTTCCATGTAGGAGGCTGTTAAGCCTTGCCTGCAGACCCCTCCGCCATGCTTTCCCAGGTTGCTTAGGCCTCGACAAAACACATAATATTCACGAGTCTTTTCACTCAGTTTCTGGAATTAAAAGAGCACATTTCATTTAATTTTGTGGGAATTCATCCCACAAACGTAAGCCAGAAAATGACAACTATTCTATTGTTCTATAGTTACTATGAATGTACAGGGACTCAGCAAGGGACTTGCTTATATAATACTACCCAATATAAGGTGTGTGACCCTGGGGATGGACAACCTCATGTTTGCTACAAGCTCTCAGAGGCACCCAGTTACTATGAGTTTACTATTAGAACAGAATCAGTAAGCAAAAGGACTAGTCATGGCTTTGGGAATAGATGGCACCGGCCAGGCCCAATATGTCAGTTAAGGGTCAGCGGACAGGTTGCCTCCTGTCAGGCCAGTCAGGTGGCTGTTTACCACACCTTCTATGATGAATTAGAACAGCCTGTGCCACCACTCCCAAAAGGTACAAAGAATTTGTTCTTTCAATTGGCTGAAAGTGTGGCACAGTCCCTGAATGTAACTTCTTGCTTTATATGTGGAGGAACAGGAGATCAGTGGCCATGCTTCCCACTAGAGAACTCACTCCCACTGAGCCTACCTCAGACATTGCTCCATATCGGAGAGACCTGAAGGACAATGTATGGATCCTGAAGGCAAGGATTACTGGGCAATTACCTAGCAAGAAGTGAAGGAAAAAATCTCATTGTGCCGGTAGGACAGCTAAATTGCCTAGGTCAAAGACTGTACAATGCTACTACTGGAATGACTGTCTGGTGGGGACTGAATCGGACAGAACTAAATCCCCTAGACCGGTTCTCTGACCTCAGATGCCTGGTGGCATCCAGGATTCTCATGAAACTGGACTTCCACACAGGGAATGTATTAGATTTGTGGGGATAAGGCATATGCCCAACTACCTGACCAATGGACAGGCAGTTTTGTCATAGGTTTTATAAAGCCTTCTTTCTTTCTGCTGCCCATCAAGGCAGGAGAACTGTTTGGGCTTCCAGTAGCCAGCCCAGAGGCAGAAGTTCGGTGGCATTGTCAGGACTTACAAATAGGGGAGTGGAAAGAAGATGAGTCGCCCCCAGAAAGAATAATACAAACTATGGGCCAGCCACATGGGCAAAGGATGAGTCATGAGGTTACTGAACCCCTAGGTTATGCTAAATTGCATCATACGATTGCAAGCAGTCTTAAAAATAATCACTAATAAGACCAGCAAAGCTTTGACCCTCCTTGCCCACCAGCAAACTCAAATAAGAAATGCTGTGTATCAAAACAGATTAGCTTTGGATTATTTACTTGCTGCAGAAGGAGAAGTTTGTGGAAAGTTCAGTCTGACCAACTGTTATCTGAAAATAGATGATCAAGGTCTAGTAGTGAAAAATATAACTAATGAAATTTTCAAACTGGCTCATGTGCCAGTACAGGTGTGACATGGATTTAATCTGAAGTTCATCTTTAGAGAATGGTTCTCAGAAATATTATTATTGGGTACTTGCCTTCTCCTCCCATGCCTAGTGCCAGTATTGCTCCAGATGGTGAGAAACCTAGTGAGTTCGACTGTGTCTCAAAGAAGCCCACCAACGAACTATGGCACAAGTTGAGGAGGATGGTGGTGAGACTCCATAACAAGTTGTTCTGAGTCTCAAAGAGGGGAATGAGGCAAGAAAGTAAAAGGAGAGTTAAAAGAATCTGTCCTAGCCGCCCTGTGTGGGCCTTAGCCAAGCCACAGGCATTTCTGTTGTCTGTATGTTCCTCCCTTGACATATGTGGGGCCTAGATTGTAACCTAGTAACTTCCTTAGGCTTCCGTTGCCTTTGAGGGCAGGTGGTCCAACCGGTCTCAAGGACGTGGGTGAATTTGACCTTCCCCCTTGAGCCCAGGACCTTGAGGATGATGTCATCTCTCTCTCTGTTTTATGACCCTCACATGCACTCTAGCCCTGAAAAGTGGATAAAAAGGAGGCAGGGGATTCTGATGGGGGGCTTGGTTTTAGAAACACTGGTTTTCCAAGTTCCCCCAGCCAAAATAAAGCTGCTTCCTCTAATCAACTGGTGCCTGGAGTCTTCTGTCTGTGTCGGTTTCCTGCTATATCATGAGAGGCCAACTTGCCAACTATCTTTTTTTCTTTTTTTTTGAGACAGAGCCTCAAGCTGTCCCTCTGGGTAGAGTGCCGTGGCATTACAGCTCACAGCAACCTCCAACTCCTAGGCTTAAGCAAGTCTCCTGCCTCAGCCTCCCAAGTAGCTGGGACCACAGGCACCCACCACAACACCTGGCTATTTTTTGGTTGCAGTTATCTTTGTTGTTTGGTGGGCCTGGGCTGGATTCGAACCCGCCACCTTAGGTGTATGTGGCTGGCACCGAGCCCCAACTATCTTTCGATATTCAATGTAATTCCTTATCTGACAATGTCATCTAGCTATAAGACCAAGAAAGTAATAGATCCTCTGAGCCAATTCTAAGACGCATGGTTGCCTGGTTGCCAACCTCACAGCAGATGAAAAGCTTTCTTTTTCTTTCTTTCTTTTTTTTGAGACAGAGCCTCAAGCTGTCCCCCTGGGTAGAGTGCTGTGGCATCACAGCTCACAGCAACCTCCAACTCCTGGGCTCAAGCGAGTCTCCTGCCTCAGCCTCCCAAGTAGCTGGGACTACAGGCACCCACCACAATGCTTGGCTATTTTTTGGTTTCAACCGTCTTTGTTGTTTGGTGGGCAGGGCTGGATTCGAACCCGCCACCTTAGATGTATGTGGCTGGAGCCCTAGCCACTTGAGCCACAGGCACTGAGCCTGAAAAGTTTTCAAATTAGAAGCTGTATAGTGACCTATACCAAAACCGTAGTGGTCAGGGGCTGTATATACGGTCTAGAACACAATTGTCCCGTAGGATTAAAGTCTGAGAAGGGAAAATAATACTTGGCATTTTGTTTCAATAAACATTTTATAAAGATTCTCACCCTGTGTGACCTAAATGTAATATTGTTGCAGGAAGACGTGGCCCAGGCCCAACAGAGAGAAAGAGCACTCAAACACCACGTTTATAAGAGGAAGGGCTTTATTCATCAGCCGGCAGCTTGCAGCATAGATTTCCAAATGGCTGTGCTCTCCGACTGGCTTGGTCTTTCTCCTTTCATTGATAGTCAAGAAGTTCCACCCTACAGGTACCCTTCCCATTGGCCAGTATGAATAGAGCGGGTAGTCCAGCCCCTATAGAACTACAGGATTTCACAGAACTTGTAAATTTCCAGGTTCCAGGAAATTTAAGTCTACAAATTCCCAAGAGCTGAGTCACCATGGAGAGGACCCTGCAGGTGCATCCTTGTGGTCTCCCTGAGAAGACCTGTTCTCCCAGACCTCTCACCCTTCTCGAGTATCCTCTCTCAATATAATAGTGTTTTCGTTTCAGTCTCACCTGGAACAACATCCTCCAAAGGCCTTTTACAACTGTAACCAAGGAATCATTGATTTATCAGCAGAACTCAGTCCAGCTAGTTGCTCTTCCCTGCTTCTTTTAATTTTTATTTTTTACTGAGAACTTCTACCCTGCTTCTTATGAATGAACCCTGTCTTTGTCTTTATTGGGGGAAACCATGATAGTGGATCCTAGGGAATTTCTCCATTCCAGGAGGAACCATTGGAGGTACAGCCTAACAGTGGGTCTCCTATGCAGCTCCCGAAAAAACAAATCTCAGTTTCAAGTGTCTCCAGATAGGCTATCTCTAAACCACAAACTCCATCCCTTCCAGGGTTCGGTCAATTGGCATCTGGGAAGAAAGGCAAAGACTCGGTCTGGGCTTGTCTAGCCGCCTGAGCCCCGCCCCTTACACGCTTGTCCCCTAGGGCCACGCCCAGGACGCTGCCCAAAATGCAGCTTCATTTGCTGACTGCCCTTGGGAATTTGCATTCTAAATAAGAGGCACACGGAACTCCGATTTTGACTACTCGGTCAGGAAATGGCACCTGGTGAAATATTGCACTAAATTGCCTAACCCTAGCTCACTCAGGCCCATGCTCCAACCGGCCCAACCCCCAAGTACCGCCCCGCCTCCGCGCCCCGCCCACTACACTCGGCCAGCGGTCGCCCCGGGAAAAAACCCCGGGCGAGGGCACGGGGGCGGTGCCTTGGACACGCGCCATTGCGCGTGCGTACGCGACTTTTTGCGTCATTCGGCCGCGCCCCAGCTTTCCGCGACCACCCTGGGTAGCGGAGTTGGCGGCGGTGCTGGAGGTTGACTGGCGCGGGTTCCGCTCTGCGGTCCCTCATGGAGGAGGCGGTGTGCACGGCTGAAGCCCCGGATGCTCGCACTTCCCACTGGGCCTCGAGGAAGGCGGTGGCTAAGCGAGCGCTAGCGGGTGCTGCCTGTACAGGGGTGTGAGCCACGGTGCCCAGGGCCAGCTTCCTGAGGAGAAGCCGCGTGACCGGCCTGCCGACTGGACTAAGGTCGCCACCACTTCCTTTCAGGCAGGCGCGTAGGGGCTGACTTGCAGGCCATCCTCCCAGTTTGGGGCGGGCACGGGTCCTTCAGGGGCAACTTTCCTTTACGGGTGTTTAGAGATGGAAGCGGTTTTGCTATTCATCCGCGGTGAGGAAGCCCACTGTGAATCGGTAGGCCGTTTGCATCCCATGGAAACTTGGCTCGCTGGCCCTACCAGGGCTTCCGTTCATTAAGTTTATTAAAATGGTTTTATTTGTCTTAGTGAGTTTTAGAAGGTGGTTTCAGCTACTGCAGGGACAATAAGTGGCAGCTGAACAAGCCTTAGACGTGTGCTGTAACGTTTTGAACAAGGCTGCTTTTAATTTCCTAATTTTTATGAAATAACTCAGCTGTTTCCCTCTCCATACAATTGCAAAAACTCTGTATATTTAGTTTTGTGTTTGTACCTCTCCAATTTCTTTACTAGATTGTCAATTCGCTTAGTACAGGACTACATCTTAAGATTCTTTTTCTAGAAATTTTGTGTATACCACGTGCCTTAAAAAAGTTAGTACTTTTTTTAAGTAAGAGGAAATAGAGAGTAAGATCTTTCATTCCTGTAAATTGTCTGTTGAAGCAGTACCTTATGCTGGATTTAGTACGTTTTATGTTAATTGGTTAGTAAAATGAGTAAGGAGGCTAGTAATCAAATTTTTAAAAGTACTTAGTAACTTTATTCAGTACTTTTGTCTACTTATGTATTCTTTCAGGCTGGAGCTACTCTGCCAGGGTTTAAAATTCTAAATGTGAATAAAGGGTAGTATTTTAGAGGAAATGAGAGTGAATAAATCATCTCTAACTTCTTTCAGCCTTTTTTTTTCCATAAGAGAGACCATATTAAACTTACATGTAAGTTAAGATTTTAATTTATAACTGCTTTGCTAAATTAGGGCTAAAGATTTAGGTTCTGTAGTATTTCTAAGTACAGAAATGCTTTTAAGAATAATTAGCCAGGCTTGGTGCCTGTGGCTTAAGTGGCTAAGGCGCCAGCCACATACACCTAAGGTGGCGGGTTCAAATCCAGCCTGGGCCTGCCAAATAACAATGACGGCTGCAACCAAAAAATAGCTGGGCGTTGTGGCGGGTGCCTGTGGTCCCAGCTATTTGGGAGGCTGAGGCAGGGGTCTCGCTTGAGCCCAGGAGTTGGAGGTTGCTGTGAGCTGTGATGCCATGGCTCTCTACCCAGGGGGACAGCTTGAGGCTCTGTCTCAAAAAAAACAATTAGGCAGGCTCCGCGCCCAAAGCACAGTGTTTACCGCGCTGGTCACATGCACCAAGGCTGGAGGCTTTGAACCCAGCCCCAGCCAGCTAAACAACAATGACAACTGCAACAACAACAAAGAAAGGTAGGCATTGTGGCAGGCACCTATAGTCCCAGCTACTTGGGAAGCTGAGGCAAGAGAATCGCTTAAGCCCAAGAGTTTGAGGTTGCTGTGAGCTGTGACACCATGGCATTCTACCGAGGGTGACATAGTGAGCCTCTGTCTCAAAAAAAAAAAACAGAATAATTAGCCAGATGAGGCTAGGGAAAAAAGCTAACTTTACATAGCAGTGAAAACCAAGCAGAAGTAAATACTGAGGACTCTAAAGTTATAATATGACTGGGCAATCTGTTGAAGACATAGAGTCCACTTTCTGTGGAGGTTCAGTTTCTTGAGCTGTAAAATAGGGATAATAGGCTCTGTTTCAAAAAAAAAAAAACCCAACTGCAACCAAAAAAATAGTTGGGCTTTGTGGTGGGTTCCTGTACTTGGGAGGCTGAGGCAAGAGAATCATTTAAGCCAGGTGAGAAGTTGCTGTGAGCTGCGATGCCATGGCATACTACCCAGGGTGACAGCTTGAGGCTCTGCCTCAAAAAAAAAAAAAAAAAAAAAATGAATGTGCCTTAGTAGTGCCACATGAACATATACACCTTGTTCTTCCATAGCCTCTACATAGGAAGAGCGATTGATTGGTATTTTATTGGTGCATGTTGTGATACTGAATATTAAGATAGACTTCTCTGGAAAATAAAGCAGTTCTTATTGGGGGCAGCAGTGGGGGAGGAATGAGAGATAGAGGTTAGAAGTACAAAGTAGCAGATACAGAGGAGGAACAGTTCTGGGGATAGAGTGTACAATATGGGGACTAGTATTAAAATTGTACTGTAATAGGGTTTTTTCTTTTTTTTTTTTTTTGAGACAGAGCCTCAGCTGTCCCCCTGGGTAGAGTGCTGTGGTATCACAGCTCACAGCAACCTCCAACTCCTGGGCTCAAGCAAGTCTCCTGCCTCAGCCTCCCAAGTATCTGGGACCACAGGCGCCCGCCACAATGCCCAGCTATTTTTTGGTTGCAGCCATCCTTGTCATTTTGGCGGGCCTGGGCTGGATTCGAACCCACTACCTTAGGTATGTGGCTGGCGCCTTAGCCACTTGAGCCACAGGTGCCAAGCCTGTAATAGGGATTTTGGTTAAATAAGTAGATTTTACCTGCTTTTGTCACAAAAATATAACTATGATAGGTATTTTCTTTAGTAACCATTTTATCGTTTATCTGTATGTTGTAGCATTGTATTGTAAACTTCAAACATACATGATAAAATTTATTTAAGAATCATGTAAAAGCCAGTTTTGCGCCTGTGGCTCAGCAGTTAGGGTGCTGGCCACATACACTGTAGAGCTGGCGGGTTGGAACCCAGCCTTGGCTTGCTAAAAACAACAACAGCTACAACAAAAAAATAGCCAGGCGTTGTGGTGGGTGCCTGTAGTCCCAGCTACTTGGGATGCTGAGGCAGGAGAATCACTTAACGCCTAGAGTTTGAGGTTGCTGTGAGTTGTGATGTTATGGCACTCAAGCCAGGGTGACCCAGAGTGACCCAGGGTAAGGTAGTGAGACTCTGTCTCAAAAAAAAAGAAATAAAAGCCCCCACTTGACAACGTTAAAAAAAAAAACAACTCTGTATTATAGAATTAAGAGCACCCCTCATATTAGAGCATGCTCAGTGTTAGACATTTATGCATAACTATGTTTAATGTAAATAAACTTTTTTTTTTCCTTTTTTGAGACAGAGCCTCACTCTGTTGCTCTGGGTAGAGTTACGTGGTGTCATAGCCCACAGCAACCTCAAACTCTTGGGCTCAAGCTATCTTCTTGCCTTAGCTTCCCAAGATTATAGGCTCCCACTACCATGGCTGGCTGGCTTGCTCTCTCGCGCTCTCTCTCTCTTCTTTTCTTTTTCAGTAGAGATAGGAGTCTTGCTTTTGCTCAGGGTGGTCTCAAGCTCTTTTTCTTTTTTTGGAGACAGTCGCACTATGTCGCCCTTGGTAGAGTGCCATGGCGTCACAGCTCACAGCAACCTCAAAATCTCGGGCGTAAGTGATTATCCTGCCTCAGCCTCCCACGTAGCTGGGACTATAGGCACCCGCCACAACGCCTGGCTTTTTTTGTTGTTGTTGCAGTTGTCATTGTTATATAGGTGGCCCGGGCTTGAACCCACCAGCTTCGGTGTATGTGGCTGGCGCCCTACAAGTGCTGCCAGGTCTCGAACTCTTGAACTCAGTTGATCTACCCTTCTCAGCCTTCCAGAGTGCTAGGACTACAGATATGAGACACTGTGTCTGGCCTATATGTAAGTAAACTTGAACAACTGTCTAAAGTTCTGTAATGTCTCCAAAAGAAAATAAATTATGGTCTGGCAAATGGGTTGCAGATCTGTTCCAGGTCTTTTGGGTGGAACATGAGGGCCCCACATGATTGGACACTTACCTTTTTACTCTGCTGTGGGATCTCAGTGGCCACAGTGGCCTTTTTTTTCCTAGAAAACAGCGTACTTGCTCCTACCTCAGAACCTCTGCACTTTTTTGTCTCTCTCTGCTTTGTTCCTTTCCCATCTCTTAGGTTTTTGCTCATTATTACTTCCTCAGCAAGTCCTCCTAACTACCCTAATTAAAATAGAAGCCCCTCAGCTCAACACCTGTGAACTTTGCATGCTTTATTTTCACTATAGCATTTAAACTCTTTCCAATATAATAGCCTCTTTTTTTTTTTTTTTGCTTACCGTTTCACTCTGCATCCAAAGGTAAACTCAATGAGGTGAAGATTTGGTCTGTTTTATTCACTTTTGCACCCTTACTCCTAGAATATAGTATGTACTCAGTAAATCTTTGTTGGTTAAATAAATGATGCGGGCAGATCACCTAGTCACAGGGAGCCACAGTGAAGCTGATACAGATTATATACCCAAGTAACCAAAATATAGATTATACGAGAAGTGGAGGAGTTGAATATCAAGGAGGGGTTCAGGAACTAAAGTGGTTTTCACACATCTGGTTAAACTAGACAAGTGAACATACGAAAATAAACCATTGGTGGGGTCGTCCCTGACTCTCCTGATCGGTATGTGACTATTATAAAGGCTAGAGCATTCAGGAAAGACCGTGAGGATGACTCTGGCCTGTGGAATGCAGACAGAGATGCAGAGATGGCATTGAACTGAGGAGGGTAGTGTAAACAAACACAGAGGGGGAAACCTAGTAACAGGTTAGGATGGCAGTGGTGTGCTGACCTTTGGTAGAACACTGGGTGTGTGAAATGGTATTGGGGATTATGATTTAAAAGATGGATTTGGGCTGGGCGTGGTGGCTCACACCTATAATCCTAGCACTCTGGGAGGCTGAGGCAGGTGGATGGCTTGAACTCACAGGTTCAAGACCAGTCTGAGCAAGAGTGAGACCCTGTCTCTAAAAATAGCCAGGTGTTGTGGCGGATGCCCGTTGTCGCAGTTACTTAGGACCGTGTGACCAGAGAATCACTTGAGCCCAGGAAGTTTGAGATTGCTGTGAGCTATGATGCTACAGCACTCTACCTAGAGCAACATAGTGAGACTCTGTCTCAAAAAAAATAACAAAAATAAAAAGATGGATTTGGAAATTTGGACTTGCTGTAAGCAGTTGGTAGTCACTCTAAGTTTTTAAGCAAAAGAATGAAGTTGGCAGAGGTATGTGTTACAGACCAGCATGCAACGTCATGCATTTTAGCCGGACCAAGACAAAGGTCTGGATCTGGTCCCCAGAGCAGGTGTGAGAGAGTATTTCACAGGCAGAAGCCCTGTGGCACTGTAGGCACTGTGTCCACCCAGGGTGACAAGATGGTGTAGCCATTTAGAGTATAAAGAGGAGCAGACAGGGCAGAGAAAACACCTGCACGGGGAGCCTGGTCTGAATTGCTACTTGTGTTCCACCTCTGGGACCAAAAGGAGACTCCTATGGGAAAGCAAGAAGGCTAGGGGTGAGGAATGTGTCCTAGCCCCCGCATGGTGACAAATTACTTAACATGTCTGCAGCTCATCATCAGGGGCCCTTACCACATGTCTTTTCAAGTCCTTGTGAAAATGAAAGGTCAGCAGTGCCAGGATAGTGAAAAGCTGTATTTGTATTTCACTTGGTATAATTTTGTTTGTTGACTTTGGCAGTTGTGTTGCTTACAAATCTTAAGAATAATAGTACTTTCTTTTTTTCTTTTTGAGACAGAGCCTCAAGCTTTCCCCTTGGGTAGAGTACCCTGGCATCACAGCTCACAGCAACCTCCAACTCCTGGGCTCAAGCGAGTCTCCTGCCTCAGCCTCCCAAGTAGCTGGGACCACAGGTGCCCGCCACAATGCCTGGCTATTTTTTTGGTTGCAGCCATCATTGTTGTTTGGCCGCCCCTGGCTGGATTCGAACCCGCCACCTTAGGTGTATGTGGCTGGCGCCTTAGCCACTTGAGCCACATGCGCCGAGCCTCTTTTTTTTTTTTTTTTTTTTTTTTTAAAGTAATGTTCTCATTCTGTTACCAAGGCTGGATAGAGTGCACTGGCACTATCACAGCTCACTGCAACCTCCATCTAACTTCTGAGCTCAAGAGGTTCTCTTGCCTTGTACTCCCAAGCAGCTGGGACTACAGGTGCCTGCCACCATGACATGCTAATTTTTTTTTTCTTAATTTTTTAGAGACAAGATCTTTCTATGTTAACAGCCCCAGCTGTTCTTGAACTCTTGGGCTCAGGTGACCTTCCTGCCCTAGGCTCTGAAAATGCTGGGATTATAGCATGAGAGGCTGCACCTGACAAGATTGTTGTTTCCTGCTCCTTAAATTACCTGTTGTCCGCATTATTTAAAGAAGGTTGACCAATTTCATTTTATTTTCTTTGAGATGTGTTTATTCCTTTTTTGATATGCTTTCATTTAACGAAGTTCACATTTTAAGTATTCATAAATATTAGTAAAATCAGTTGTGAAAATCACATTTGCTAAAATTTAGAGAGAATAAGATGAAAATTCTAAGAGTCTTTGTGTTTAAAATTTCAATAAGTTATTTTTAAAATATTTAGTTCTCTCAGCTGTGGAGTCCTTGAGGATGTGACCTTTGATCATCTTCAGAACTTCTTTGTCTGCTGCATAAATAGCTACTTAGTATGTATATTAAACAAATGGCCATGTGCAAATAACCCTAGTGGGTGGGAGTTAACTCCATTTGAGCTCCTGTGAGAAGTGAAGTCGGAGGGTTCCCAACTGTTGCTCCCCATATCTTGTTGGGGAACCCTAGTTGAAGTGAAATTTAACGAAGTTTTCTTGTTTAGCTGTGTTTTGTTATGTTTTGTTTTTTTGAGACAGTCTCAAGCTATCGCCCTGGGTAGAGTGATGTGGCGTCACAGCTCACAGCAACCTCAAATTCTTGGATTTAAGACATTCTCTTGCCTCAGCCTCCCAAGTAGCTGGGACTATAGGCGTCTGCCACAAGGCCTGGCTATGTTTTTTTGTTGTTCCAGTTGTCATTGTTGTTTTTAGCTGGCCCCGGCTGGGTTCGAACCCCCCAGCCTCTTGTGTATGTGGCCGGCGCCCTACCCACTGAGCTACGGGCACCCCCTTATTTAGCTGTTTTTAAGCCTGCCCCTACCTTGTGGCTAATCCTAAAGAATAAAAAAAAAATCTCTGTTGTAGGCTCTAAGATGTGATTGCCCTTGGTTCTAAAGGTTGGGAGCAGAGTGTCACCAGGTCTGAGAGGAGCGAAGCAACTCATTCCTTTTGGGACATTCACACTGCTGCCCTGTTTTCAAACTGTAAGTCAGAATGAGATAATTCATTTTCTTAGCTGGTGGCCAAAGAGTACCTGCCACCCAGCTTTGATAGGGAGCTCTGTTTTCTGCAGACAGTTTTTGGTTTTTCATAAATTGTGGTGGAAATGTTAGACTTAGTATAATAAGCCTGTTCAGGTATATAAATTAGCTGTCTCAGTGGCATATGAGAACAAGCATTTATGATCATGTTCACAGTTCTGTGGGTCATCTGGGATAGTTCTTTTCTCCTCTGTTGTGATCAGTGGGCTGAACACTTGTTTGGATTGATTATCAACTCAGTGTGATAATACTGCATTTATTATTGTTACTATTATTTTATTTTTGAGACACAGTCTTAAGCTGTCACCCTGGGTAGAGTGCAGTGGCGTCACAGCTCACAACAACCTCTAACTCTTGGGCTTAAGAGATTCTCTTGCCTCAGCCTCCCAGGTAGCTGAGACTGCAGGTGCCCATCACAATGCCCAGTTATGTTTTTGTTGCAGTTGTCATTGTTGTTTAGCTGGCCTGGGCTGGGTTTGAACCTGCCACCTTTATGGCTGGTGCCATAACCACTGTGCTACGGGTACTGAGCCAATACTCCATTTATTATTAATATAGTATGTTATAACCCCTATAACTCCCATATTTCTTGTCTATCCCTAATGATTCTTAAGACTAAAACTATTAATCATTAAGTCTAAAAGCTGTCACCATTTTATTCAGAGAGTTTGGCATAATGCCTAGTGTCAAGGTCTAGGCATTGACTTGTCAGGGCCTGGGACTGGCCAGGTCTCGACCTGGCTTAAGTAGGTTCTGGACGTGGACCGCTAAGCTACCTTGCTCAGGAACAGTTTCTCTTAGGTGCCTAAGTGCTATCTACTTTAGCTGGAGAGAGAGAGAGAGAGAGTGTGTCTTAGAGAGTAAAGCAGTCTTCTTAGAACAGATAGATCTTAGTCTTTAGCAGAGCTTGGTAATCTTTAGCCAAGAGACGCCATGCTGGCGTTCTGCAGGCAGGAGAGGAGACAGAGTCCAAGTAAACGTCTCCATGATAGAATGCTATGCTTTTTGACTGCCTTCTTCTCCAGCCTAATATAAGGCTGAGCTCGTGCCTCTCAACACCACAGGTGTAGAGACTGCCAATTCACCAATGCTCTCATCTCGCGAGCTCTCTCGTGCTTGTTATAACTGAATCTCTCTCCATGCCCTTTCACCAAGGTGTTCCATTACAGGTATTTCCTATAACTCACTCTTCCTAGCCATAGGCTATATGGGCTGCTACACCTAGTACTTAGGGCATAACATGTCCAGGAAATGCTGTTTGAGTGGACAAATAAGGTAATTGAGGGGCTGGGAGTTTAATTTCTTTTGGTTAAAGGCCAGAGTCTATGTCTTAAAGAATGGAATAGTTGGCTAGTTAGTAAGGATCCTGACTGACTTGCAGATTAGTTCTGGGACTCAGTAGTAGTTAAACTGTGGGACTAAAAATCCAAGATACACTAGAAAGTTGTATGTGTAACTATTCTGTTACCAACTGGTCATAAGTCTTATTGCTAAGTGCTATTTTTTCTCTGTTATCCACAGTTTGCTTTAGTTCATTTATCAGCCAAATTCATGCATTGGCTATTTGGAAATAAAATTTGCAGATGTTTTGTGGATTGAGCCCTCTGGGTGCATGGTGCTCATGTTCTCTTTAGGCCACCAGTACCACATCCCATGACCTGGGAGACATCTCCCTGTGAACCACGTCATCTTCTGCTAACAAGATAATGTACAATCTGCCTTTCCTTAGCAAATCCCTAAATAGGCTAAATAAATAAAGTACTATATGCTTTTGTCAACATGTAGTTTTAAAAAGAACATGTATCAGCAGAAAAATTTGAATTTCTTTGTAGAGATCATTCAAAAGGATTCATTTGTGAAATTGATAAATGCATTTTATTTATAAGGTAGATTTGTATATTGTTAGGCCTGACTTTTTATCCTGTAGAGTATTTAATACTTTTTTTTTGGCCGGGGCTGGGTTTGAACCCGCCACCTCCAGCATATGGGGCTGGCGCCCTACCCTTTTGAGCCACAGGCGCCGCCTGTAATATTAATATTTGTAATGAAAATATTTTTCTTTTTGAGAGGAGAAATGGTGTAAAATTTTGAATTGCATGTAAGCTGTTGTGATCATTCTGTGAAAGTCTCATTCCATTTTGTGTCGTTCAGATTTGAAGACCACATCATCCTGCCCCTGGTACCAGCAGTTTCTCTGTTCTGTGATCAATGTGATTCGCAAGTACTTCGTAAGTCACAAACGAAATGAGCCCAGGGCGTGGAAAATATGACTTTTACATTGGCCTGGGGTTGGCTATGAGCTCCAGCATTTTCATTGGAGGAAGTTTCATTCTGAAAAAGAAAGGCCTTCTGCGACTTGCTAGAAAAGGCTCAATGAGAGCAGGTAGGTGGTACTCGGTGTGACTTCAGCATGTACTTTGTAGAAGACTACCTCTTATTCTTAGTAAGTGTATTTGAAACTTTACGACTATTCCAGGGTTGGAAATGTTTATAGAGAGTCAAACATCAGTTTTGTAATGAGAAAAATAAAAAGTAAGAAGATAGCATAATTTACTAGGAACAGTAATTTTTTCCTAGTTACTGTCAAAGTGGAAACAGGAACCAATGCCAAATTAGCATCCAGCCTTTTCTTTGAATTTCAGTATGTCTTCAGAGAAGACAATAAGGGTCCATGATTAGAATCAGAACTTATTGAAGAACATATTTTGTCTATGACAGTGAAAGTTCTGACTTTTACCTTAGACATTTTTCTTTTTTTTTTTGTAGAGACAGAGTCTCACTTTACTGCCCTCGGTAGAGTGCCATGGCAGCGTCACACAGCTCACAGCAACCTCCAACTCCTGGGCTTAGGCCATTCTCTTGCCTCAGCCTCCCGAGTAGCTGGGACTACAGGTGCCTGCCATGACACCTGGCTATTTTTTGTTGCGGTTTGGCCGGGGCTGGGTTTGAACCCACCACCCTAAGTAAATGGGGTCGGCGCCCTACTCACTGAGCCACAGGCGCTGCCCGACATTTTTCTTGATAATCTCAAATTAGCAGGCAGGAAGGAAAGTTTCCGTGTCTGGAACTGTACCCAGTTCAGTGAACTCTCCTGGATATTGTAAGTTGTTTCTCCAGAGACTGCTGACAACTCAAAAGACCCTGGGGGATATCACTGTGATTGACCCCACTGATACCTCGGCACCTCCCTGGAGCATTCATGACAACTTCCAGTGCTATGGGGCACTGTGGTCCCTTGCCATCCTTCTGCCTCTGCTTTAGTTCTAGACCCAGTTGGACCTCAGGAATATACCTGCTTTGGCAGTAAGAAATATCACCCTCTCTCTTCCCTATGGCATCTTTAGGGCTAGCCCTAATTCAGCAGTCTTCAAACATAAGAGCACATTGGTGAAGAGGAGAAGGCATTGGCATCTACTGCTTAGTCCCCCAGCCCCTCATTTTTTGTCCAAGGAGAGGTACTTTCATTATCCATGATGAATATGCTTGTAAAGGATTCATTCTCCCTTGCTTTTTCTTTTGGAGAGTGGCTTAAATGCTGATTGCTTCCTGACTATTAGTTTGATCAAGGGGAAAGCCCAGGAAAAAGCAGAGTGTGTTTTTTGGCAGTCCCAGAGTGTGAGACCTGTCCTGGTCAGCACAGGACCACTGTCTCCAAGGCTGTCACCTCGTAAGTGGGACTTCCCCTCCCCAAATGGCTTGTCCACTTCAGACTAATTAATTTGAAGTTCGGCTATTTCTCATTGGTTCATTTTCTTTGTTTCTTTTGTTTTGAGACAGAGTCTCAAGCTGTTGCCCTGAGTAGAGTGCCGTGACATCACAGCTCACAGCAACCTCCATCTCTTGGGCTTAAGCAATTCTCTTGCCTCAACCTCCCAAGAAGCTGGAATTATAGGTGCCTACGACAACACCCAGCTATTTTTTGGTTGCAGTTGTCATTGTTGTTTGGCAGGCCCAGGCTGGATTTGAACCTGCCAGCTCTGGTGTATGTGGCTGGAGCCTTAGCCTCTTGAGCTACAGGCACCGAGCCAGTTCATTTTCTTTACTTTGTTGAAGCTGAGCTCACAAAACAAAAGAAGGAAATGTGAGCTGAATGTAAGGATTGATTTTGTTCCTTCCTTAGAGTATAGTCCAAACCTACACATTTTTACTTTTTTTTTGGCCGTTTTTGGCAGGGGCTGGTTTTGAACCTACCCCCTCTGGCATATGGGACTGGCGCCCTACCCTTTTGAGCCACAGGTGCCGCCCAAACTTGAACATTTTTAAATGTTCTCATGATCCTCACATTCCCTTATTACTGTCTAAGAAATCCCCTTATACAGTGATGCAGAAACCTTTATTTACAATAGTAATAGGCTGGGTGTGATGGCTTACACCTATAATCCCAGCACTGTAGGAGGCCAAAGCAGGAAGATTGCTTGAAACTAGAAGTTTGAACCAGCCCGAGCAAGAGTAAGACCTTGTCTCTACACAAAATAGGAAAATCAGCCAGGTGTGGTGGCATATGTCTTTAGCCCCAGTTACTGAGAGGCTGAGGCAGGAGGGTCATTTGAGCCCAGGAATTTGAGGTTGCAGTGAGATGTGGTGCCACTGTATTCTAGCCAAGGCAACAGAGTGAGACCCCATTTCAACAAAACAAAAACAAAAATAAAGCAGTAATAATCAGCAACTGAGATATGTTTAAATCCGTCATTACTAATAGTGTAACATGCTTGTAACTTATATAAGAGTCTGATAATCTTCCAAAGATGTGAAATATTTCTTCATTCACAGGTCAAGGTGGCCATGCATATCTTAAAGAATGGTTGTGGTGGGCTGGACTGCTGTCAAGTATGTATGCAACGTTTTAAGAAAACAGCTATATGTTAAAATATTTGCATCTACTACTATAGCCTCATGTTATTGGCAAATAAAGAAATCTTGTTTTTCTACTTAAGAAAACTGACATATAATATTTAAGCATGTGGAAGTTATTGGGCAGTTTAATAGCTTATTAATTGGACAAGACTTTACTCATCTGATTAAGACATTTGATACACCTGTGTATTTTAACCAATTGTGTTCAATTTAAGAAGGTAATTTTGAAAGTGAAAGGTTATAGAGAAATCTTGTTTTTAGTTTTTCATTCTCTTCTCATTTCAGTAGAAAAAGAAGTAGGCATGTATTTGATAAGATTGTCCGTCCTTAATGATTGACTTTTAAAAGGTACATGGGAAAAATTATCCTTTCTTTTTTTTTTTTTTTGAGACAGAGCCTCAAGCTGTCCCCCTGGG